TTCTTAGGGAAATGTACAAGTATTTGCTAAAAAAAGCTTTTCATAAGCAGATCCCACTGAACCTATCTCCCGTTATAAAGGCAAAACACCTCTAAATCTTACCAAGTGATCTCTTGAGGACCTCAACAAACTAAACCAAAGAATTCCAAAATCACCCTCTCTACCCAAGAAATCTTGAAAAGAGAGAGATCATATAAGTGGATACTAGAAAGGCACATCCAAATAAGAGCAACTTTGTCCTAGGGAAAACTATATCACCCTCCCAAAACCTAGAAACCCTGCACAACTAAAAACTAACTGATATAAAATTGTCTGCCAAAGATCAAATAAACGCAAAAAATTGGCTGCAAGAGATTCAACAGGAAACTAACAAATTTTCCTTGCTCTTGCATTGAACTAATTGGGCCCCAACAAAAACTTCAATTTTAAAGTAGAAAACAAGACATTATAAGAAAAACAGGACATCCAATAAACATGAAAACAGACATAAATGAAGAAGCAAATCTATCATCAGATTCATGCAAACTAACATTATAAGAAAAACAATCACCACTATTTACAATTTGTTTTTACATATGTTATTTACCTTCCAAAAAAAATTTCCTACTGATTTTGATTTACTGTAATCCAATGAAAAATAAATGATGAGCAGCTTCTCATTTGGATTTTGGCATCTATATTATGATGCAACAATTCTTAACACAATAGCTAGGGTAGGCTGCCAATTCTTTTACCCAACCCTCAATCTTCTATTATCAAAAAGGAAAAATCACAAAAAGAAAGTGAAATATTCTGAGCCCTCAAATTCACAAAGGATATCATGCCTCATTTTAGGAATAAAAAAAGCATAAGGAAAAAGACAAAAAATTAAAAAAAAAAAATCTAAACTTCACAAAGTACCTTACGAGGAATTTCAAATATAAAAAGTTCATTCCACTTAGCAGTGCCTTCATTTGTATTACTAGTTTCTGAAACTAGAGGCTTGACACATTTTGTCCTAGCACTCTGAGGGAAAAGCTTCTGTTGATCCATGGGCTGACTGTCAACGACGAGACGCAAAGTACAGAAGAAGTTATGGCTGTTACCATCATCAATTATAGGCAAACCCTGAGAAAAATAAAAAAAGTCACATTCCTACCAAGATATAACAAGAAAATTTTAAGGTAGCTCTGGTTACACTAAATAGAATTTAGCCATTTAACAACCTTTGCTTCAATAATCTGTACGGTAACATAATAACGTGCTTCTCTAGAACCATCTGCAACATCTACCCTGTCTAAAAACCTTGGTGGTGGAATCCACACAGAAGTGCAATCGCTGTGAGGTAGCCACTGAACTACATCTGAATTTTCCTCTATCTTCTTCAAGTACATGTCACATCCTAGCTTATTTTCCACTATTATTGTCTGAAAATCATCCTCATCAAGTGCAGAAAGCATTTGATCATCTTCATGTTTGCATTGACTACCAGCCTCCTGAAAAAGTATTAATCCAGTAAGCATTTACTTCGTCATAAAGCCAGGAATGTCAACTATATAATTTCTGAAAACATAACCATGTTATGTTCTTCACTCAACCTCTTCTATTTTACTTGCTTTTTGTTCAAGTTCTAATTGCCTTCTCCATGAAAGAATGGTCTCTCCAAGAGTTTCAAGATTTGCAGCGGTAATATTAATGTTGAGAATATTAGTTGCAGCAATACGCACTCTCTTTCCAACCTTTGATATCGCATGCGCATTTGTCTCAAATGTTTCAAACCTTGGATGCAAAACATCAGAACAGTAATCAAATAATGCCAAATATATAAAAAAAAGTTGGATTTTATTTTCCCAATAAGTCGAAGTATATAGGCATAATTATAAAAAAGACTTGAATATTCCATCAAAGGGTTCCACTAGTGGCTAAAGGGCTTCCAACTGTGTGTTAAA